CGTATCTTAAATTTAGTGACTTAATGTTTAGGAAATCTTTTAGTCAAGTTCTTTGACTCTCAAGATTTAAAAAAATAAAGTTATTAACACCTGAAAGGTAAACCATTAATGTAGCAGCTGTTTTTTTAGATGTGAAAGTTATTCTTGAATAATACATATCCTGACCAGTTGTAGAAACTATCCTGAATAAAGTACCTTTATTCTATACTTATATTCTCTTAGTAATTTTGAGACATAGAAAGTTATATTCCTTCTAAAATTTGTATGGCAGTTGTCACTGTGAAGGAAATTCTTTTTCTTAGATTATTGTTCAAATATTGTATGTATCAATATTAGAGGGTGAAATATATATATCTATATATCTATATATATATAGCCTGAAAGAGACCATGATTATGCATCAATTGCTAGGATTCAAGGTGATTATCTGTTCCCAGTTTAGTGTTACATCCTTTCAGACTTTCTAAGGAATTTTTTTCTGCCAATGTCATCTCAATATTTTTACTTGTAAAGCACTGGGAAAATGACTGCAGTTTTAGTCTCGTAAAATAGAACAGAGTTGCCAACTTCCCCATTATTGGCATTTGGACTTTGATAATACTGTGGGACATTTAGAAGGATCCTTGGCCTCCACCCGCTAGGTGTCAGTGGTACCTCCCCCTCAAGCTGTGACAACTCATAAATACTCCAGACATTGCCAAATAACTTTTTTTTTTTTTTAGGTTTTACAGTAGCCACATTTTATTTTTATTTTTTTTAAGTGGAATATTTTCATAGCTCAATATGTTTTGTTTTTATTTTTTATTTTTTTCCATTTATTTTTATTAGTTGGAGGCTAATTACTTTACAATATTGTAGTGGTTTTTGCCATACATTGACATGAATCAGCCATGGATTTACATGTGTTCCCCATCCCGATCCCTCCTCCCGCATCCCTGCCAAATATCTTTAGGGGGGCAATATCACCATAAGTTGAGAACCACTGAAATAGAAACATCAAGTTAAAAGAAGGTACAATCCACTTAAGTAGCCATATAGAACATTTTAATGCCTGTGGTCAAAGTATTTTTGCTTTTATGTTGAAAATAGTGCGTCACTTCTAGGAGAGTTCAGTAAGAAACACCACTATTTTGTGAAATCTGAAAAAACTATTCTGGACATATTGTACCTCTGTTAAATAAGAAGCGTATTTCAAAGCATAACATTTACAATTAAGAAAAAGTGGACATCAGAAAATGTAAGTGGAAAAGAAGATGATCACAATAGAACAGGGAAAGGAGCAGTATGGACCAGTGATAGCAGTGTTGCAGTGATACAACGACATACTAGTAGGCAATACTTAGACAAATGTTTGTGCTAGGCATGTTATTGCTTCTGCAGGTACAGAGATGAAAAACAACTGTTTTCTTCTGTTGAAAAGCTCAGAGTTTAGGGACAGAGACATATTATCATAAAAAAGAATGTACTGGAAAAATTATGATAGAAATGTCTACTGCTGACTTGTAATAAAATGATTGAAAAATAAGAATCCTAGCTGTGTGAGCAGGGCGGTTCACACTTGGCCAGGTTTCTGTCAACTTGACACAGAAAATCAGTTAAAATAATTCAGACAAAAGTTCTCTTCTGCAAAAAATAAGCTTGGAACATTAGTTTATTGGGTGATGTGAGTTGAAGCAGCTGAACTATTTTGCCAAAATGATCAGGGTAAGTGGTTCAATTTTCACTTCACTAGACTGTGGAGATGTCAGAGTGCTATTGTCTAATGAATTAAACAAATGAACTCCAACTTGGGAGATTTGCGTTTTTAAAACATATTAATACTGGGTATAACTTTAATACCGGGTTTTTGGAGAAAGTATTTTCCACTTATAGACATATTCTGGCTTACTGGGAAAATCCTTTAATTTTCCTATTTCTTCAGTGATACTATAACTCCAAGTACCACGTGGCTCTTCAGCAGAAGAAAAGGCAAAAAGAGAAAGTATTAAAAATTCACATAAACGTAGCTTCAGTTGCCTTTTTGTCAGATGGGATATAGACAAATTTGCTTTGCTGGGATGGTGGCTTTGGGCTGAGCAGAGGTTAAAGATACCGCTTTGTCTTAAATTTGTTGGTCTTTCTGGACCTACTGACCTGAATAAACAACTATAAGAATGTCAGAAAACCAAGGATATGGGACTGGGATAACACTGTTGGAGGTGAGAACACAACAGCTATGTATGTCTACCAAGTATTTCTGGTTCACCTGGCTTCCTTTTAGGCATTTGATAGGATAGTATCAGAAAAACATCTATTTCTGCTTTACTGACTATGCTAAAGCCTTTGACTGTGTGGATCACAATAAACTGGAAAATTCTGAAAGAGATGGGAATACCAGACCACCTGACCCACCTCTTGAGAAACCTATATGCAGGTCAGGAAGCAACAGAACTGGACATGGAACAACAGACTGGTTCCAAATAGGAAAAGGAGTATATATACAAGGCTGTATATTGTCACCCTGCTTATTTAACTTATATGCAGAGTACATCATGAAAAATGCTGGACTGGAAGAAGCACAAGCTGGATTCAAGACTGCCAGGAGAACTATCAATCACCTCAGATATGCAGATGACACCACCCTTATGGCAGAAAGTGAAGAGGAACTAAAAAGCCTCTTGATGAAAGTGAAAGAGGAGAGTGAAAAGTTGGCTTAAAGCTCAACATTCAGAAAACTAAGATCATGGCATCTGGTCCCATCACTTCATGCAGTGTCAGACAATTTTTTTGGGCTCCAAAATCACTGCAGATGATGATTGCAGCCATGAAATTAAGATGCTTACTCCTTGGAAGGAAAGTTATGCCCAACCTAGATAGCATATTAAAAAGCAGAGACATTACTTTGCCAACAAGGGACCATTTAGTCAAGGCTATGGTTTTTCTGGTGGTCATGTATGGATGTGAGAGTTGGACTGTGAAGTAAGCTGAGCGCCAAAAAATTGATGTTTTGAACTGTGGTGTTGGAGAAGACTCTTGAGAGTCCCTCGGACTGCAAGGAGATCCAACCAGTCCATCCTAAAGGAGATCAGTCCTGGGTGTTCATTGGAAGGACTGATGCTGAGGCTGAAACTCCAATACTTTGGCCACCTCATGCAAAGAGTCGACTCATTGGAAAAGACCCTGATGCTGGGAGGGATTGGGGGCAGGAGGAGAAGGGGACTACAGAGGATGAGATGGCTGGATGGCATCACCGACTCGATGGACATGAGTTTGAGTAAACTCTGAGAGTTGGTGAAGGACAGAGAGGCCTGACGTGCTGCGATTCATGGGGTTGCAAAGGCTCGGACATGACTGAGCGACTGAACTGAACTGAGGATAGCATCTCTTGGTTGGATGGGGTCATGTGACTCTTCTTAGCTAATGAGGTGTGAGCACGCAGGACATAAGTCCACCTCTCTGGAGTATCCGACTACTTCAGGAACCCTCAAGCTCTTTCTCCTCCTGGCATAGTAATTAGCAACACTTGAGACATGGTTTCTCTATCCACTTGAATCTGAGTGCTGTGAGCAGAGCCCTCTGCTGAACCATGATGGGTATGTGTCATTTGTTTTAAGGGTTTGGCAAAGTTCTTCTGTAAAGGATGAGACAGTATTTTAGGTTTTGCACGTCATAATGTCTCTATTATTCCTCTACTCTGCTGTTCTGTGGCATGAGAGGCCGTTAAAAAATATGTACAAGGATGGATGTGGCTGTGTCCCCCACCTCCCCAAACTATTTACAAAAGCAGACAGAGGGCCACTTGGTTCAGGGACTATAGTTTGCAGATCCCTATTTTAAGTCACAGCTTTTAGAACTGTTACTGCAGCATAATAACCTAGCCTATCATGATTTCCTGTGGGCTGAGATGAATCCCCAAATGAGAGTCTTTATCATGTGTTGTCATCTATCCTCCCTTTCAAAAATCCACTTTCTCTTTTCTTGAATCTAATTTAACTGACCAGTCTCTTCATGTTTCAGTAACTGCTATTTCATAATGTGCCAAAGAAAGGCAGAAAAGGCCTTTCCTTCTTAACACATAATCACAAGACCTCTTCAGCTCAAACCTGAATCACCAAAGGTCTCCAAGTCACTGGTTCTCACACTTGAGCAGGTATCAGAATCACCCAGAGGGCACAGATTGCTGGGTTTTAGCTTAAGTTTTTTATTTTATAGGTTTGGGAAGAATTTGTCTAGTAGTTCATGTCTGATCTTAAAGACATCAGGTTCTAATAAAGCAGTAAAAAACTTTTAGATTTCACTGGGCACACAAATTGGCTGAGAAGCTTGTTAAAACGCAGATTACCTCAGCAGATTTGGGGTGGGGCCTGATATTTTGATAGTGATAGTGGTCAGGCTGAGGACACTAATTGCTGCCAAGAAGCTAAAAGATTCTAATCTTCCTTTCTAGCCCTTAGCATAGTGTTTAGATTAGAGCCAAGCACAGTTCTGTGCTTAAGTCTTAAATAACCTCAGGTCAACTTTGACTTCACTCACACCTAATGAGTTAGCAAATCCTTTTGGTTCTGCTATCACAATGTATTTATAAAGCATCCAACCACTTGTCACCACCTTTACTGTAACACCCTGACCTTGGCCACCACCGTCTCTGGGCTGGATTATTTCAACAGCCTCTTAATTGGGTTCCCAGCCTCCGCTCTTGCTCCATCCTCCCTCTCACTTCTCACATTTACTGTAAATTCTTTATATAGCAGCAAGAGGGGTTCTTGAAAACCCAGGTTGATTAGGTTACTCCCGTTTAAGACTATGCACACGGTGACTCCCCATTTCATTCAGCAAAAGCCAAAGTGCTTCAGTGGTCTATCAGGCTTCATCTGCTGGCTCTCTTTTACATCTTCGACCTCATCTCCTGCTCTGCTCTTGCCACTCTGGCCTCCTTGCTGTTCCTTGAACCCACCAAGCACATTCCCATCTCCGATCCTGGCACATGGTTTTCCCTCCGCCTGGAAAATTCTTCCTCCAAGATGAGTGAGTGACCTTTATCCTTCAGTCTTGGCTCAAATGTCACTAATGCTTTTCCTGACCAGCTTTTTTTTCTCTACCTCTTCACTCTGATATATATTTACTTATCTTCTCCTGACTTAGAATGAGGCTCCATGCACACAGAAATTGTTTAAAATCCCTAGCGTTAAAGAGTTCCTAACCCATAGTAAGGTGCCCTATAAACATTTGAATGAATAGACAACAGACTGCAACTAACTGGAATATCCTGAGGATGTAGGCTACTGTTTCTCCAGGTTCCCTCAGGATACATGTTGCCAACCAGTATTACTCATTTTATTCCCCAGTAAACAGTGGGTTTGGTAGCATCCTTTCCTATATTCTTTTCTTGGAATTTAAATAATAAACTGAGTCATTTACTGTTGTCATACATTGTGTTGCTGAATTTTCCACTGCTTATATTCCTTTTAATATGTTTTCCTCCAGCATTTCGTCTTTCTTTTGTTCACCGTCCACAACCTTATTCCAAGGCTGGAATAGTTCCCTTGGAGGAAAAAAAATCTCATGTTCATTTAACATTCGCTTAAAAGTTTTCGGTAAATCTAAAAAAAAAACCGAAAAAAGTCTGATGCATAATACTCAGGCCTATTGGGTACATGTCATCTTAAGATAGCCGAAGATTATTTGTAACATGAATCCAGAGTTTTATAACTTGAAACCATCCATCTTGCTCATTTCCAGCGCGTTCTACAGAGAACTCCTAGGTTACCAGGTGATTGTGTTGTAGGGGAAGCGGCAACTTCTCTTTAGACCTTTTGAGGTGTGGGTTTGCCTGCTCTGCATATAAAGGAATTCTAGAAACTGGGATTGCACCACCCACCCCACGCACCCCTTACTTGCAGAAACCCTTCTCCCCCCCACCCCCCCCCGCCCCGCCGCCGCATGAGGGCTCTTCGAGGGGCAGTTGCCAGCTCCAGATACAGCCGCTTGACATCTATTGTCCCAGTTTGGACGTCCAGCGACTTCGCCTGAAGGACCCTAGCTTCGATTTCGCCCCAAACTCAAGCTACCGCTCCGACAGCCTCCCCGGGGCCCTGCCCACCTGTACCGGGCTGCCACCCCCTCGGGACAGGGCCTCGGGCAGGGCGGGCGGGAGGCCAGGCGGGCCCTTTCTCGCAGGCGTTCGCGCCGGGCAGCCCGAGCGGCCGCGAAAGCCCCCGCCCGCCGCTTCTCCCGCCCCCTCCGCCCCAGAGGGCCGGCTGCCTAAGTCCCTCCCGCTCCCGGCTCTCCGCCTCACTAGCAGCGGCTCTCGGTGCAGCGGGGACAGGGCGCAGCAGCCTGTGCCCACGGAGCGCACGACACTGCTCGGAACGCACCGCTACCCTTGTCCCCTCAGCCACCCACTCGGGATCTCCAGCGGCCTCCGCGCGCGCACGGTGAGCGCCACCCCGGGCGCTGAAGGGGAAGCGGACCGCTGCCCCGAGTGTCCTTTACCTCCGGATCGTCTGGACCTGCGCGAGGGGCTTGCTACTCAAGTCTCCTCTTCCCCACCCCCACCCCCGGTCATTTCCAGTGCCCTTCTCCACCCTACTCCACCTCTCAGCCCCGACCTCTCTCTTCCCTCCCTTCCTCGCAGGGAGGCGAGGGCCGGCCCTCACCGGTGGGGACCGTTGCTCTGGCCGTTGGCGGCCGGCGCTGCGAGGCCCCGCCCCCGGCGCGAGTCTAGGTGCCCCGGGGCCGGTAGGCCAAGCCGGTGGCTCGCGCGGGGGAGGGGCGGGGTGGGGGGCGGTGCGAGGCCCGTCCGGGCGCCCTGCTGGCGGGTCGCGCGCGCGCCCGCGGCCCCTTCCTGCCCCGGCGGCGCGCGCCGGCCCGATCCCCACCCCCACCCACTCGCGCAGGCTCCCGCCCGCTGCGCGTTTTGTCCCGCGTCTCGCCCCGTCCGCCGACTGATTCGCCGCTCTTGTCCTTCCTCCCGCTTTTTCTTCTCTTCCCTCACGGTCTCAAGATGCCTTCGGCCACCAGCCACAGCGGAAGCGGCAGCAAGTCGTCTGGACCACCGCCGCCTTCGGGCTCCTCCGGGAATGAGGCGGGGGCCGGGGCCGCCGCGCCGGCTTCTCAACACCCCACGACCGGCACCGGGGCTGTCCAGACCGAGGCCATGAAGCAGATTCTCGGGGTGATCGACAAGAAACTTCGGAACCTGGAGAAGAAGAAGGTGCCAGGAGCTGGCGGGGAAGGGAGGGTTTGGTGCTCGGACCCTGACTTGCCGCAGGCTTTACCCTCCCGGTCTCGGACTCTTCCCCTTCACCCAGGCCTGGCCTCCGCAATCAAGCGGAGCTTCGAGCCCAGAAAACGGGCTCCGTGGGGAGGTGCTTGTCAGCTGACGCGGACGCGGCGTTGGCCCCCAGGCCTCTTTATTACCGTCCTCCCGCGGGGGCCAGGCCTCCGGCCTCGGCGACTGGGTTGTGTGAGGGTGGGGGCCTGTCCCGTCGCCAGGCATTTTAACTGTGATGCTGTGCTCTCGGTGGCGGAAGCCCTTTTTCTGTGACCGGGGTCAGCGAGGGGAAAGGAAGAGGTCCCGGGGTGGGGGGCTTTCAGGGCCCAACCGACTGCCTCGTGGAGTCGGGCGGCCTACGTCCTGGAGGCTTGGGGCTTGTCCGCTTGGTTACCGTGTACTTGAGGCCTGCGCAGCGGCCCCTCTGCTCCCTCGGGAGGGAAGTGTTTGGGGTTCTTAAACGAGAGTCGCCTCTCCCTCAGGCCCCTCTCAGGCAGGCCTTGGATTTGCTACCCCCGCCCCTCTCTGACGGGCGCCCCTTCCTTCTTTGTTTCAATTGTCCGGGTGTCCCCCCGAGCCTCACGCTTCACGCGACCCGGAGAAGATTTTCTGCAGCCGTTCTTTGCCCCTTGGGGACGCACTGGAGAGGGCTGGGAGGGAGACTGCTCGGGTCGACACTCGGTGGGGGGGGTGGGTCCGGGTTGGACGGAGGGGCTCGCTAGGTCTCTGGGCACATGGAGAGCGCGTCTAACATGGCGGCGGCTGCGGGGAGAGGGAAGCGCTCTACGGGAGCTGCATTGTGAGCACAAAGCGAAAGAGGGGGAGGGCAGAGACCAGGCAGTCCCCGACTGGCCTCCCTCGGTCCCCCCTCCAAAAGAAAAATCGAGCCACACCCACAAATTTTGGATTGAATATTTAACCATTCCTAGGTCACACTGTGAGGTTTATCTTCAAGTTGGTCTTTTGTTTTATTTTGTTTCAGCGCAGGACTGCTAGCTCTGTTTAGAGGGACACGTGTGTATGTGCGCCTCTGTGTGTGTGTGTTTGTGTGTACGTGTAGAGAAAGGGTCTTAGCAAAATGAATAATTCAGCCTTCAGTAAGATTGGAGGTGGAAAGGGAAAACAAATCAGTAGTACAAAAAAAAATGGGGTAGTTACATCTGTGACTATTATGCAAACTTTTGCCTTTTACCTTAAAAAGGAAATAACTTGCTTTAGTAGCTTCTGTTTATCTGCCTCTAGTAAAACATATTGTAACATCTTGAATTTTGAAGAAGTCACTTTAAAATGTTTATTTTGCCAGCCACCAAATAGTGTTAAGATGTAATGGTAACTACTTGGCTAAAATTTGGGCTGTGGGAAATAACTTGAAAACTGGTTACATTTAGGCCTTAATTATTTTGATCGCTTGTTTAATGATTCATTTTACATTTTCGGGGGAGTTTTAAAGCATTTTTAGAGTTTTTAAATTTTGTCTTCTGTGTTTGGAAATTTACTTGAACTTTATTTGAAATCGAGAGATGCGCTAGTTGTGGATTTCTACCTTTTGCTGATCCTTTATTTTGATTGTATGAATTTATTATAACTGTTTGAAATTATAAACTGAATTTATCAGTGCTACCAAAGCAACAAAATCATTTTTATTGTTAAGGAGCTACATTCAAGTATGTAATAAGCTTGCTTAAGACCAGTGTCCTCTGAGGCTGCCATCTTTGTTAACTGTATTTGAAATTGAGACTTAGCTACATTATAAAAACCTCTTAATTCAGTAACTAACCCTGTCAATCTTGGTATTTAATACCCGAATGAAGAACAATATTAATGATGTAATATTTTAAGTGTAGACATCTTAATATAGATATTTATGTTTTAATGACTGAAAAATGATTCTTGAAAGACATTTATAATATAAAGTCATGCACTGATTACCAGGTAACTTGGTTGTGAGGTAAGTTGGATTCTGGTGTTCAAGTGTATCTGAAAAAATTAGTAAGCTAGTTTTATGAACCCTATGAGGGCCTGAACTGTGACAGGTCTTTTCATGTGTATAGGTTTGTAGTACTGTACATTGCCTACCCCCTTCCCCCCAATTATAAAGGAGAAGATAATGTAGTTATTATTATAGAGACCATAGACAAGGCTAGTAAGTAGTGAAAAATTCCCTTGTAATGATGGAGATTTAGTACAGTACACAGCAACAAATGCCTTTCTTGTCTTTTTCCCCTGTCTTCCCAGTGTTAGGGTGCTAGGTAGCAGAAAGGTCAAATTTCAGTTAGGTGAGGCTTTTTGGTAACTCACAGACTGAGCTACCTACTTGTTACATAGTTGAGTTGGTAGTATCAATGTTGTGACTTACTATTAAAAGTGTAGGTTTTAATTTTTGAGAAACTCGGAGCATTTGGGTTTTCGTCTATAATCACATCTAGTTTCTAGTTTAAATAGAAATTTTTCTATATCTAGATATTACTGTATGAATGGATTTAACTAGGATCCATTTTTTAATAGTGTTTCTAATACACCTAAAGTAGGATTTACTGTACAAGTCAGTTTTTAATCTTTTTACTTCAGTTTCTTTAGCAAGTTATATTTGAGTTGTATTTTAGTTTTGACCTTTTCATAGGTGCCTTCTGGACAAAATGTCTTTTTCAAGGGATTCTGAAATTAAGTATCCCGATAAAAATTATTGCTTGATAGGTAATACCACAAGACAGAGAGAATTGAAATAATTGTATTGTACTTCAATGAAAAAACAGTTAGAGGGAAGCTAAGCATCTGTTCAGTGAGAATGCATTCTTAACTTTGATGAAATATGATCCTGTTATGTAATGCAACTAAATGGCCTGGTGGTTTTTTTGAAATTTGGGCTTTTAAACTATGTGAGTGTTCAGCAAAGAGAAGAAACGCAGCTATAATAAACAGAATCATGTCAAATTTCATTTTCCAATCTTTCAACTGATTACAGTACAAGTAACAATGAACTGAGTGATTATCTAGTTCATCAATTGGCATAGAACTGGGCCCTAGGCTATGCAAGATGATATTTTGAAACCAAGTCTTAATTTTAACTCAAGGTGGTGGGTTTAGTTGCCAAGTTGTGTACACCCCTTGCGACCTCATGGACTGTAGCCTGCTAGGCTCCTCTGTCCATAAGATTTTCCAGGCAAGAATACTGGAGTGGGTTGCCATTTCCTTCAGGGGATCTTCCAGACCCAGGGATTGAACCCTGGTCTCCTGCATTGCAGGCATATTCTTTACCAACTGAACTACCAGGGAAGCCGCTTTAATTCAAGGGAGAGTTCTTTTATATGGTAACAGGTAATCATTTTTGAGATAGGATAAAGTATGTTTTAATAGATGACATTTAAAATTGTTAAACTCCATTCAAGTGTAGTAAGTTTAGACAGTAGTGACTGGTAGACGAAAGATGAATTGGTGTTGTCTAGCAAAATGACCTGGCAGTTTTTAACCAGTACGACCAGAAGTGATAGACAAGTATACTGTTCTTCCTACCTCCTAAAGTCTTTCTGCTCTGTGTTTCTTTGCAGTTCATACTATTCTGAAAAAAGGACTGTTTATTGTTAGGGTAACACTTCTTCACAGAGCAATTCAGTGCGCCTCTCTTACGGATTTTCAGTGCAGGTGCTGTACAGAATTCTCAGTCTTTTGAAATAAAAATGTTTATAACTTGTATAAGCAAACCCTTTTCTTCGGGATAACATCTGAAGTTTTTCTTGACAGTTAACATCTCTGAAGTGCTAGTTTTTCCATTGGTTGCATGGACTATTCCTCTGCAATGCAGAGAGCAAGGTTACTTTATTTTGCATTCACCTTGTCACAGAAGAAAAAGTGTAATGCTTAGTTTGTTTCCCTCTGCTTGTCTGGGTGTGCTCTGTGAGTATGTGACATAGAAAAGTATTTAAAAATTGAGTTTGAAAAGAAAATGATGTGAATTGTCTCATGTGATGACGCAAATACCTTTTTCTGGAATGAGAGTAGAATTCTAAGTATGATAATAAGAATGTGTTGTTTTAAGCTGGCCATATTTTACTCTAGGATAATTTGTATGTTTGTATCAGAATATTTGTATCAGATATTTATATCAGTATAAATTTTGTCTGAGTTAGAGATTAAGCATACAGTCTGTCATAATTTTATGTAATTTCTTAGTTTACGTTTAGAACTAGATGAGGACTAACCTAGTACTACTTCATCTTTTAAAAAATTAATATTTGCAAAAGTTTAAACTTACAACAGTGTGGTCTTAATTTTATTATCATACTGTTATAGAATCCTTGAAATATGTTAAGAGCTTAGAGGCATTTTAGAATTTATTCCAGTTCATTTTACAGAGGAAGAAATTGAGATGCTCATGTAAAATGACCCAGGTTGAAATAGGTGAATTCCAAGGTCTCTTGTAATGTTTTAGAGGGGTAATTAGAATTTGTAATGCTTTGCGAAATAGTGTAATTTTTCAAGTTACAGCTGATCCTGTGGAACCAAGCCTTTTACTTCAAATAACTGAATTTTATTATTATTTTAAAAATTTTAATTTATTTTTTGGCCACACTGTGACATGCCAAACCTTGGTTCCCAATGGGATAGAACCCTTTCCCCTTGATTTGGGATCATGGAGTCTAAATCACTGGATTGCCAGAGAAGTTCCCCGCCCCCCATACTTTTATTTAGAGTTCTCTATTTAAAAAAGGTGAAAGCAAAAGAAAGGGTTTTTTTTTCTTCCATAGACCTATATAGTAACATCTCATTGCTAAATTTGTGTTTGTAGGCTGTCTAGGTAATGGCCTCCAGCGACTAGCAGTACAGGTGAAGTTCCATTTAAAGTTTCTCTTCATGCTTAGTTAAGCCCCAGATGCACATTTGCTAGTCTCTACTCAAGCTTGGTGGGGCTTCCCTTGTAGCTCAGTCGGTAAAGAATCTGCCTG